ATAGATAGATAGATAGATAGATAGATAGATAGATAGATAGATAGATAGATAGATAACACTTGCAACGTAATAAGTTCATATAAGTGCCGAGGATAGAGGTGTTACTAGAGAGTAACAAAATGCACAAAAAGGACGATAGATGTTTGTTTAGAAAGAAGGAGTAAACCACACTAGAGCACCCGCCAACCACTCACCAAATGCTATAACCGTGTTCACAGACTCTAAAACATACACCAAGGAATAAACAAAAAAACAAACAAAAACAATACAGAGAACACAAGACTGTGTTTGTTGAGATGATGATGATGATGCTGATGATGATGATGCTGATGATGCTGATGATGCTGATGCTGATGATGATGATGATGATAATGATGATGATGACGACGACGACAATATCGACTTGTCGATGTTGATGACGACAATGATGATGACAATGATGGTAACGATGGTACCCACCACATATTAAATTTCACAGCTGGTGTCCAAATCCAAATCCAACTTACAAGTAAAGAGATCACCGAAATAAGATCATTGTAATCATATGTAATTAATCAATGGACAACACACACAAAAACTTTTACCTGTGTTGTGGAGAGCGGGGATCCTGGCGTCGAGTAGGAGGAAGTGTAACCAAACTGGGACAATGACATGCTTTCTGCACGTAACCAGCCACACCACTTCACCAAGGGCGTGGGCGATAGATCAATAGGAAAATTTCAGTGATTCAGTTAAACGAGGACATCAGAACTGGGGTGTAACGTGTGTGTTCGAGCAATTTTGTCGTTGCAGCCTTTATTTTTCAGTGAAGAATCAACACTGTAAAATAGTATTTCCCTGGGGAACTTGTAAGTTCGAGTAGCGTTGTCGGTATAGCTTTTGTTGTAGATCTTCAGTGAAGCGTCAATTCTGTGAAACAATATTTCCCAGCAGTATTTGCTACTTAGTTGTAACTTCTATTTTCGGACAGCCTTGTGGGTACAACTATTCTTGTAGATTTTCAATAAAGCAGCAACACAGTGAAGCAATTATTTCCTAGGAGTATTTGTTTTCGTTAATGTTCTTGTTTTTGTTTCTTGTTTCTCGCCGAGTTAAGTTCTGAATTTCACAAGGATATATCTGACGAAGCAATTTTGTTCACGGTTTTGTAAACAAACAAAAAATGTCTTTCAACAGAAATACCACAAATGTAAATGGAATTTTGCAATAATATCCCAAAGCTGTCTGTATCGTGAGGGAAATAGATTTACCTTCTTGGAAAGTTACCGCAAATAGCAGGGCACGTGAATATCACAATTTGATATATCTAGATACCTTCCACAATGTCTTTTGGAGCAGGCGTGACTAATTTGTACTCTTTGTGAGGCACAGGGTAATGTGCTGTAATATTGGTCTACAATATTAAGACAAACTCCGGTTGGTTAAATCAAGTTATAATCTTAATTATATAAGTTTACTGATAACTGTAATGCAACTTTCCTTTTTATGTATTAGATTAAAACAAATCCACGGGTATCATTATATTCCTTATGCCTGAAAGTATGTATTTAAAAAACTAGAAAAAGAGTCACGTTATGAAAGTAGAGAATGTGAACAAACGTCCATACTTGCTGTACAAAATACCGCTGTTTAGAGAGTCAATTCAGGCCCTCTGAGCACCCCTATCTCGCTCCTCTAAAAATTAATGTCTTTTCAAGACTATTCTCCAATTGGAATTGGTTCCTCCCACTTTCTTCGCCCTCCCCTAATTTCTGACCTTCCCTCTATGGATGATCGACAAGAAGAGATCAGTGGGTCAGGGCGACCTGTGTGTTGGACCACCTTAATTACTGGCAGGAAAATCTGGTTCTAATTGTTCACGTAGCCTGGTGAGGGCCGGGGTTCAGTCCTTGTTAGGGTTGCCAGCCAGCCAGTCTGTGGCTGACTTTTCGAGTGATCTCCCCTCTACACCGGAACGAGGTCAACAAAATGGCGGCGCTGAGCTTGTCTCGATTTCTTCGTATTTCCTAGACAGTCGAATGATTCCCCTTCTTGATTGCTGCATTCCTCTGCTGTTCCTGCTTCTGTCTTCTGCAGTTCTCCCGTCACTCGCTCACTTACTGGGAGGAGGAGGGAGGTGATCCATCACTCTGGGAGGGTTAACGGGATGCGCGGACAGCGAAGGTTGGACAGATAACGAGCTGCCGACAAACTGGTCACTCGGCCGGGGCTGGGTTAACTCTTGCAGGCTGGAAGTTTGCCTGATGCTGAGTGACTGACCTGGCCTGACTGATGGTAGCACCACTTTTGGCTACAGTTGGTCAAGCACCTTTGGATCTTCTGCGTGGTCGCTTTCAGTTAAAGCGAAGACAGGCTCGGAGATTTTAGTTCTTCACCGTCTGTCAGCAGAAACTCTACGATGCTCTTGTGTGCAGTTAAAAAGTGTCAAGGCATCTGAAACGAAATTTTAAATGAATTATATAAAAGTTTATAATGTGTATCCTTCTGATTTTAAAAAAAATGCATTTCTTTGAGGGGCAAGTTTGTTTGTTTAGTTTTTTGTTTGTTTGTTTGTTTGTTTGTTGTTGTTATTTTTTGTTGGGGGGGGGGGGGGTTAACTGACGAACACTAAATAAACATGTGCTCTATTTAGTCAATTATACGATCAAAATACTTCAGAGTGTACAATTAGAGATTACTTAGTAATACCACCCAATTAACACTCTTCTATTTTAGGACGGACTGCAATGAAAAGTTCTTTACGGCTCAAAGTAGACAAACACAATACCTGTAATTAAAAGTATATTGACGCTCACAATAAGCTCTAACATTAGCAGTTGAAATGTTTTCTCCCCCATTACAAATTTATTTTCACTTCCACAGTTAATCCTGGATAAGAAAAAAAACACACCTTAGTTGAAATAACAAACATAACATCAGAAAGCAAACAAGAAAACAAAACACAAGAAAACAAAACAAAAAGGAACAAATGAGACGAAAAAGTAAGAGTTGTCTATTACGAAGTGAATTAAAAAAAAAAAAAGAATGGCCGCAGACTAGATAATGTTCTGCCTGACTAGAACCCCCCCC